TCGTCGACTCATGAGTCGACGAAAACGTGCACGAACCCCCTTGAGTCAACTTATGATTTCATAAGTCGACTCAGCAAAAACTTTTATTAACTGGAGTGGGTTTCGTAAGTCGACTCATGCCAACCTTGAGTCGACTCATGAGTTGACTCATGTCAGGCTTCAGTCGACTCATGAGCTGAAAACTACACGCTTCGATTTCACGCTCCGTTGTTTCGCTTCACGCTCCGCTGTTTCGCTTCACGCTCCGCTGTTTCGCTCCATGCTCCAACCTGACGCTTCTATTCTCAAGCTGCCATGAGAATCGTCTATCCTCAAACTCCCATGAGGATCACTAAGCTTCCGAAAAGAAGATACACCTGTATCATGACTCCCTTTTAGGAACTTAAAATCCCGTTCAAGTTAGAACTTCAGTCGAGGAAACTCTCGAGCTCCTCCTTCTTTGTTGAACCACCTAACTTTGCTAAGAACCTGACCTTGACGTCCGATCAGAAACGACTCCTTCGTCTCGCGTCTCGTCGTAGTCACCTTCTGCTCCAAATTGCAATCCTCTTTTAGTGGCTCTTCATAAGGCTTAGTGAACAACGAGACAAACTTCTTGCTTGTATTCACTAGCCTCTTCGTCCGGTTCACCGTCACCAAATTTGTCTCCTTCGGAAGAGACGCCGAACGAAATATGAATTTCTCACCATCTTTGGTGAATGTGTACTTCTGAGCCTGCCTTTCGTAGATCGCGTATCTATCCTACAAATACGGATTGCCTAGTATAACCTGACAAACATCCAATGGAACAACGTCGCACGTGATCTCGTCATTATACGACTCGTGAGTGCAAATTTGAAAGTGCTTTGCTTAACTACACTCAATCCCGCCTCCTTATGAATCGCTAAAGGATAGGGCTTCGGATGCTTTACCGTCTTCAACCTTAGCTTCTGAACCAAGGCCTCGGATATCAAATTCTTCTAGCTCCCTAGATCAACGATGACATCAACCAAGCTGGTCTTCACTTGTAACTTAAGAACAAAGAGCTGCTCTCTGGGGTATTCTTCTTCATCCGCGGCCTGCTTTCCTGCTATAATGTTAAGACTATTGTTAGGCTCTGTCATCCGAGAACTTCCTTCGGACCCTGTGCTATCACGTATACCTTTTACTCCTCTTTTTTCAACCCCTTCGGCTTCAGATGATGATACTTCTCTCATCACCGATCAGCTACGCGTCCTGTCTGCTTGCAGTGATTGCAAGTCAATCCTGCCTTTCCTGGATCACCTTTCTTTTTTTCTTTCTTACGTTGAGAGCCACTAAACTTAGCTCCAGCTTGCTTGGAATCTCCCTTCGTCTTGTTACTCTTCTTCTGCTTGCCCTCAATGATAATAGCCTTCACACTCGCTTTTGTAATGGATTTGATCGTGAATAGCTTCATTTCCTTCCGGATGTATTCATTCAGACCCGTCATATACTTCATAAAGATGGAGTATTTCTCCGTTGCAATGTTGAGGATCATCACCTGCTGTTGAAACTCTGTAGTGTATTCTTGAACGGTCTGATTGAATCTTTGGCGCAAGTCGTACCACTTGTACCAACGCTCCTTAAGGAATCCCATCAGGTAGAATTGTTTCTTCAGTAGTTCCTTGAACTTGTTCCATGACACCGTATTCTTTTCCTGCTTACAGTAGGATTTCCACCACGTTAACGCGTGCCCTGAAAGCTTCAATGTCGCAAAAACAATCTTTTCTTTTGACGAATAGCCATAAAGAGTAAAATAAGTCTCCATCCGCTTGATCTAATCATCAAGCCTCTCGACGTCGACACTCCCATCATAAACATGAATCTCCACTCTAAAATCTATCTTCATATTCTGATAAGTACCTTTACCCCCTTGATGTAGAACAGTCTTGTCAGTCTCGACCTTCTCGTCGGAATCTGAAGTCTCGTTCTCCCCGTCGGACTCTACGGGTTTCTTCTTGGACTTCGAAAAAAATTCGTCCTTTTTGTCCCCTTCATGGACGAGATCGACGAGTTGTGTGAGAGTTGACCTTATCGTCTCGATCTGCTTCTCCAATGCATCAAGTCTCGATGAGCTGTCATTTTCAGTCATCTTTTTCTTCCTTAAATTTTGGACATCTTCTAAGGGCTTGTTTGGATTGAGGGGAATGAGGTTGAAGGGAAGTTAGGGGAACCATTCACCTCCATTCACCTTGTTTGGGAACACTTAGAAGGTGAAGTTAATTCACCTCCATTCACCTTGGTTCACCCCCTAATAGTATAAAAATTGTTACCCCCCAAATTGGGGTGTAACCAAGGGGAAGAAAATTTCCTTTCCTTCCCTTTCCTTCCCTTCACTCAGTTTCCCTTAACTTCCCTTCACCCCCTACGAATCCAAACAGGCCCTAAAGAAATAAGGATCTCGCCTAGTTTCTTGTATTACGATCGAGTGAGGACCATACACAAGATACCCCCTTTACAGGATCTGATCGTTCTAATACCAACTTGATACTAGTCGCCGTGCGAGCACTTTTGATCGCGAAATTATCAAAGATGGGTTGAGAAGAAGACAATAAAAAACACAAGACAATTCAGTTTTGGTGAAGGAAAATACATTCTCTAGATTATGAGTATCAATTGTTTTACAAATCTCTCTCACAATCTCTCTAGAATAGAAAACAATCCTCTCTAATCTCAAATCTCACAAAATTTTGATTAGGCATTCATAAACAACAGTGTTTTAATTTATACAAACCCTAAAAACCAAATCCTAGCAGGAATCTGGAATTCAGCCCAAACCCGTCATGAGTCGACTCATGAGTCGACTCAAATGTGCACAAACCCTCTTGAGTCGACTTATAATTTCATAAGTCGACTCAGTCACTCAGCAGAAACTTTTGTTAACCGGAGCGGGTTTCGTAAGTCGACTCATGCCAACCTTAAGTCGACTCATGAGCTGAAAACCGCACGCTTCGATTTCGTGCTCCGCTGTTTCGCTTCATGCTTCAACTTGACGCTTCTATTCTCAAGCTACCATGAGAATCGTCTATCCTCAAGCTTCCATGAGGATCACTAAGCTTCCGAAGAGAAGATACACCCGTATCATTATCTATTGGCAGGTTGTAGTCTAGCAATAGTTAGTATACATTGAGAACATTAAGAATAATGTATCTTTTGTATTGTAATGAATACAAAAATTACTTATTTACCAAATCTTAGCAGATATCAGGATTTATAGAAGAAAAAGAAGCTTGACAAGAGTTCCTCATGGAACCTGAAAGACAAAGCTACCATCTTTAGTGGCAGCAACTCTCTTCATTTTATCATGAAAAGAATATCATGCAATGTTCAGAATACTGAATAAGATTTTTTTTGAACAATATCACAATACTATCCCCTGAACCCTGGTTATGTCTACTTGCCTTCTAGTTTGTACCCATGCTTCGTTAACTTATACATCATGAAACTATTTTTGGCAACAGCCACACCCATACACGTATAGCATGTTGATAATTTTATAGGTCATCCATCACATGGTGCCTTCATCATGTACCATCCTATATCAGTTATCCGTTGATTTTGTAATCATTAATTGAATGGTTACAAATATTTCAAAGAGATTCAAGTTGTTGTTCACTCGTGCTTGATGACTCTTATATGAAGATGAACAACATGGGCCGGTCTTCACTACCCCATGATACTAATTGGCAATCAGGAGCAAGCTTTTAAGTTTGTCCTCAAGGAACATTGGATTTCCTATCTGTGTGTTTCATCCTATATATACATATGTTTCCATGTATGTACCATATATAAATGTATGTGTCTATATATGTACACATTCATATATTTGTATACATGTGTATACATATATTTACAAGTATATGTAAGTATGTATAATGTATCTGCTATATACATGAATATTTTCATATTATGTGTACCTATATACCCACACACATGTATATGCATATGTAATATATGTGTACACCTGCTTATGCATGTATTTATGCATGCATATATCTATATTGTTGTGTGTATTGATATCTCTCAGACTCAGTTCATTAACCAAAATGAGCTGACAAGAGATGAGCAAGAGATTAAGAGTGGTGAAGAGGCCCACTCATCGGATTTGGCTACTTTTATTTATTATTATTATTATTTTTTTGGGGGGAGGGTCATCACTTGCTCCAATGCACGCCCATTTTTTCCATACAGAAATATAGCTTACTGAGTTTTTAGTGTAGAGGCTGAAAGTCCATTCCGAATAAAATATCACTTTGCACGCAATAAAACCAAACAAAATAGCAAAAGGCAAAGAAAGACCTGATATAGTAATTGGATGGACCCAAAATCCCAAAGCAGATTGATTATTTGGAATTCCCTTAAACAACACGCCAATTGTTGCTTTCTGTATGTCTTTGCATATATTATTTATAAGGCTTTTCTCGTATGGCTTTAATTGCTTCATTGCTTGCTATCCGATACACCACCTAGTTTGAGACTTAAGATTCATCTTTGTTTTATATATAATATTTTTCAGGTTTATACATTTATATTATCATTTTTTTGCAGCTTGTATCTGGAGAAAGCTAGTTGAAAATCTCAGTGTGTCAAGCCAATATGTAGTCTTTCTACTTTTTAATCTGGACAAGTTCTGCCCTATCCAGCACATGCCTGTGTTTATAGAATTTTGTGCTTACTTTTGCTTGATTATATGGTATTTGAAAAATCATGAAATAAGTATTGTCTAATTTTCATTTGGTGTTTGTTTGAGTGGAAAACTATATCCAGCAACTTTTATCACAACTTCAAAGTGCTGATATTGTTGCAGGGGCATGATATGGTATTGGATCCTCCAAAGTTTAAATCGAACTGATATGTTTTGTAGCCTGTGAATTATAAATCTAATGGATATAAGAAGGGGAAGAATGTGCATCATTATCTTGTGAATAGAAATAGGCTGGATTCTGTAGCTTATCCCCTTTTATGCCAAAGCTAGATGCTACTATTATGACAATGATGTCTCTTACAACCATAACACAGTTATATGGGTGATAAAGTGGAACATGCTTTTACTGGATAATATGATTGGCTTATTTACATTTTCTCTGTGTGTCCCTAATGAAATGAGTTTGTAGTTTAGCGTGTCAAATTATTGTCATTCCTTTTTTGGCTCTCCCTGTAAACATCTTTAAGGTTGATCATGCTGCATGTAGTAGGATTAATCCCTTGTAAGTGCTTTTCTTAATGAGTTTTCGCTTGTTCATTGTTATTTTTCTTCAGAAATCCATTTATCACCCATAATGTAGACATACTATTGGAGTTTATTTCATGTCATGTAGTTATTCTTTGTTTTCTTTTAGAAGTTTGATCTCATGATACTTTGATCTAGGTTATGGTGAGGGAGCAAATTGGACATCCAACTTGGGGTTCATATGCTCAACTACTTTTGGACCCTCAAAGTAGGCTTTGGAGAAACCCTGGTAATGGTGGTCATGATGACAAAGCACATCCTCCAATTCATCCTACTAAGTTTTCTAGTGGTGAATCAGGGTGGAGTCAAGACCATAATGTATGTGCATAGTTCTATTGAAAAAAAGAAAAAGAATGCAAGGTCATATATGACTATATTAGCTGCTGCTTTGGATAGTTTATAGATATATGATTTTAACAATTCACCCCATTGGTATATCCAGAGATTGTATGAGCTTGTTGTGCGCCATTTCCTTGCTTGTGTTTCACAACCAGCTGTAGGGGCTAAAACTACAGTGGAGATTGATATTGCTGGTGCACAGTTTTCTGCTTCTGGGCGTACAATATTAGCAGTAAGTGTCCTCTTGCTCTTTGTTACTACATTGTTACTCCTACCTATTATTTCTTTGAAGAAGTGAATAGTTTTAGTTTCTGTTAAGAGGTTATCTGCCTTTTCTTTTCTTTTCTAATATTTTCTTTCTTGTAAGTTATTTTCTTAAAATTTCTCATTTCATGGTTGATCATTTATTTTCTTATTTCACTTCAAATTGGTTATGAACTAAGCTACGCAGTTCTCAAGCATAACCATCTTCGTCCTGGAAAAATGCATTTGGATAGTAACCGCAAGTACTATCTTCATTATCGTGTGTCCGAGTGTGGCCACAGGAAGCTCTACACTGCTTCTAGCCATGCCAAAGTTGGATTTAGTCTCAGGCAGACAACAGACGGAGCAATAAGGGAGAGGAAGGACAAATTTCTATCAGGATCCTGAACTGTTTTGAAATTATTTATTAACTACAAAATGACCTCTAAGCTGCTAAAAAAGGGTGATTATGCTATAATAGAGTTAAAAGGAAATATTCTTGTCTCATTGAATTTTCAGTCCTATCCCTAAGGTACAGATTTACTAGAATTTCTAATGGGCTTCTGTATTCTACAGATACTATGAAGAAGTTCTTCTTGCTCAGAAATCGTGAT